TTCCTGCCTAAGTTTTTTACTAGGATGATTATAGAAAATATTTGAAAAGGAATGAGAGCCCCAGCTAAAATGAATATTTTGCAAAACATGCTCTTCATATCTAGGAAACTACAAATGTTCTGTTGTGTGCTAAGTCTTTTTTACATCTGCTCAGTTAGAGGTTTGACGCTTGAAATTATATAACTCTTCTAGGTTTTGGTGGACATCAAATTCCCAGGTACCTAGTGGAGTCTGTTACCCACCTGTGGAGTTTTTCTGTTTGTTTGTTTTTTGTTTTTATTATTTTACTGGGAGGAACTGGAATGAGTTTCCAGAGTCTGACATGCTTATAACTAGCAATTTGGGTTTGAATATTTGATTTTAATTTCAGCCAGTGTAGATGAAATCGTAAAATTCTTTAGGTAATGTTTTATGCAAGTTAATTGGGTTGAGCAAAAATAACGTCAGTGATATAGAAAGCAACTTTAATAGGTTCCTGCATCTTTTATTCCTGTGATCTGTTCGTTGTTTCTCATCATCTTAGACAAAAGTTTCAGTGGGCAATGAGAAAAATAGGAGACAGTCACAATCCCTTTTCTAATTTCAAGAGAGTGAATCAGATTTAACTGCATTACTGCATTCTTCTTGTAAGAAGAAATAGTAGCCAGTGTTTTGTGGAATTCAAAACCAAAAATTTCTGCTCTGTTATAGCTAAGCTTTTCTCCATGTAAAGCATTAGCTTAAGCAATGGATCTCTGTTTGATCTGGCATGATGAAATACACTGTGAATACTGACATTTTCCTATCCATAGTGAATACCGTCTGGATTTATGTAAGCTGATAGAGTAATTGGTTAATAAGTCTACTAAAACATTTATATTACATTTAGCAATGATATGGAGTTGCACATGGGTATTAGTATTTTCTAATTTTACAAGGAAGAGGAGCATCTTAAACAGGCAGAGGAAGCACTTTTCTCTGTGGGACGAATAGTATTAAACACACCTCACCTATGAATGCCATTTTAAACAACCTGAAGAATTCAACTGCAAAGGCAGCTGGAGTTTGGAGTTTGAAATGCCAATGAATTTTTTTAACGTCTGCTGCAATAAAATTTTCCCCTATCCAAAAATGAAGAGGGAGGCGTCAGTCATGTAATCTGGCCTTCTTGCCATCCATGCCCACAGCTGTTCAGATGAATGTAAGAGAAAGAAGCAGTGGGGAAAGGTGACATGCTTTTTAATTAGCTGGGCTTTTAAGAAGTAGGCTAATACTCTAGCACAGGTATGGGAAGAACATAAAGGCCTGGATGTGCCCATTTCAGATCTAAAATATTCTGAAAGTCCCACAGAGTGTTTCCTGTAGAAGAGGGGCCCAATTTCTCCTCCTGGACCAATCAAAAGAACTTCTTACATCAGGCTGTATGTGTCAGAGGTTCTTAGTGCTTGAGCATAGGTGTTATTTAGTTATGGATCGGGCTTTTTGCTTCTTGGGTTTTCAGGTAATCTTTTCTAACTTTGCTCTGCATCAGCACCATCTTGGCTCATTTATTTGAGCTTTGCATGGAATCAGAGAATTTGGACAAACGCAGTCAATTCATGGCCATAAGCTATGTTTTTTCCATCATTCTTCTGTCCAAAATCTGTTTTACTTCTTCACACATTGCTTGTTCTTTTTCCCTTTCCGAAGAAACTTTATCTTGGTATCCTTTTCAAAACTAAAGAGGAAAACTAAGCAGCATTGTAAGAATGCATAGCCTGGGGCAGGGGTCACTAGCTGTGTCTTGAGAGGTTCGGGTAGGACATTTGGAAAATATTCTTCACTCTGAAGCAGTGAAGAAGTGCAGCAATAAACAGGTTACACAGGGAGGTGGTGGAAACTTTCTCTTTGGAGGATTTCTAGATTCAAATAGAAAAAAGCCACAAATGACCTGGTACAGTGATGGCAGTAGTCCAGCTCACAGTTGAAATAAATGATCTCCATAGGTTCCTTCCGGTCCACATTTCTGTGATTCAACATATATAAACACCAGCGGGTAACTGTAAGGTTTTATCTAGTAAATCATAAATTAACTAATATCAAAGTAGGTTGACACAAAATGTCTAGAGGTTTAGAGCCCGTGCTAATTCAGTCCCAAGAGCAGGTTAATTCAGCAGCAAAGGTCAGGTACTATGTTTTTATGAAGGACGACGTTCTGTGGGCTTCATCCTTTGGACTGTACCTTTCGTGTTGATTTCAGAAGAGCTATTAATGGAGCATGTGTCTCTTGGCACTTTATTCTACTCTGATGTTTTTATGACGAGCCTTTATGTTGTATAACTTTGATTTTTAGGCCCTTTTTCGAGAGTCTAGCTATTTTCTGTTCACGGGCATAGAAAGGTGACCTCATAGTTCTAAAGTTAAAGGTCACTCTTTCTGAAACTCTCCAGAATTGCAGGTTGTTCCAACTGATACATCAGTAAACTTCTCTGAATTGTCTCCTTTATCAGCTTGAAATGTGTATCCTTCAATGATCAAAGAAATTCAGTTTCTAAATAAAATTACATTAGAAAAAAAATCAAGAGACTTTCAAGGTCTGTTTCGCATCCTGCAATCATAATGAATACAAGTTCACTAAGATGCAGATTTGCATATCTTAACTTTGAGGATACAATGTCTTTGGAATATATTCAAATTTTGTGAAGATCTTCTATAATGGAGGTTTTTACAAGTTAATACAGTTCTTTTGCTTTAAATTGAGTTCAGTATTAAAACTGGTTGCAACAGTGATGATTAGGTTCATATTGCATGCAATATCTGGACAGACTTGTTGCATCTATACTTGTCGATTTTGCCACTAGATGGCATTATGCATTAACTGCGAGATAATTTATGGGTTTCACCGTAATTTATCACACTAAAGATGAAAAAAGTAAGAAATGATCTATTGTGCTTGCTCTTGCTGTATGCAAGAGTGAAAGAATGTGGTTTAAAAATCACTTGACCTACTTCTGCCTAACAGTAACCCAATCCATCCTTAATGCATCAAATATGGATTTACTCAAAGCGATAAAGGAAGTCAGCTGTAGTGACAATATCTGATTCTGTGTGCAGTGCACCTTTCAGAATAAAACTCTTCCATCCTTTACTGCATTTAAGGTTTAAAGAGTGACTGCACTGCAAAATACTTCCTTTCTGGCTATATGGCTTCAAACGAAGTAAGAGGAAGGGTCCTCAGAAAAGCTGTATTGCTGAAGATTGCTTTTAAATAAGGAGCCTCATTTGAGAGCTTTTTGATTTAGTAGCTACTTCAGGCTAGATTATAAGAATATGTTTCAATATGGATATGCTGTTGTTTCCTCCACCGAGATGGAATGAACTATTAGCTATCCATTACCCTACACAATTATGTGGTGCTCAGGAATGAAGCTTCTAGGACTTAAAAGTCCTAACCAGTGGAGGACGAACTGGTGTGGAGCAAAGCTGTAATACATTCAAGAAAACTGACTAGTGGGATTTTTGCTTTACTCCTAAGACTTGTGGTGATTTGGCAAGGAGAAGTCAGTATTCGCAGCAGGAAGAAGGCAACGGCAAGGATTTGGGGTGTGAGAAACAAGGAAGCAGGGCTAGTGGTCTGGAGATGGAAGAGAGAGGAAGTGAAGCAGGGGCAAGCAGCAAAAAGGAAGGAAAAGAGGAACCACACCTGGAATGGGAGAGAAGAATGTGGTGGCAGAAGGGCCCAAATTTTTCATTTTTATGTGTGCTAGTGTGTGAGGTATATGAAGAACAACATGAAGACAGATATAAAATTGAGGATTAGATGAAATGGTGGGACAGGGTGGGGGCTGGAAGTGGAACAATTGTTTCTTAATTTTAAATCTATATTCTGGAGGAAAAGAAAAGATAGACAGTTGATCCTTTATATTTAACTTGTCTTCCAGAACTAGAGATAGTATGCACAAAAGAGGGCTTATCAAATTGCTGATCAGATACATATTCTCGAGTATATTTCCCTGCACTCTCTGAATTTTTCTTCATTCTTTATGTAGAATATAAGAGTCTCTAGGCTGGAACTGGCTAGATAATTTAATTGTGATGTGTGACAGTTATTACCTGTGAAATCTAATAACATTTAGCTGCAAAATGTAGTCTTGGATACAAGCTGGGATGGACCAGTTCAGTTAGCCTGGGCCCATAATGGAAAAGCTTCCATGGCCAAGAAAACATGGAAGCATTATCTTAGCGTGAAGCAGGTCTTGTAAATTGTCATAGTAATTAAGCACGTAATAGATAAGTAGTTAAACTTACGCGTGAGTTTGTCTCTGAGTTGGGCTTTTGTGAAGAGGACACACCAATGTCAGTTGTAAAAAATTACCAGAAGTTTTGCAGTAAATTCAGGCTGTTAAAATATTTGTGTTTTCTATTAAAAAATTTATTTTGCTTGTGGTACCCCTGAGCTTTAAAGTCTGTTTTAAACTGTCCTATCCAGTGTTTGGCTGTAAATAATGCAATACATGATTCTTTGACGTAGCAATGTTTATGAGTTATACCTGTCTGTGGATGGTCAACATGATGCAACACTTTTGTGACATGGATATCAAAAATTTTTCATGATATCTGCCAATACAACAATGTTATTAAGCCTTTTGGAAGCCTAGGTCAGTAGAGTGGACATCAGGGAGTTTTGGATAGGTATCCATCTTTTTCCTCACACTAATCTGCCCTTCTTTCACCTTGCAGCTCATGTTGCAGAGGACAGAGTCTGCTCACAGGTACATCACTATGTGATGAAGGCTGTAGCACAAGGTAATGCTGGTTGTAATACCTGTGATCTCCCTCTGCCATGCTGAGGTATGAGACCATTTACTTATCCGATCCATTCAGTCATACTCTCTTCTCTTGTGAGATACATGATCATGGGGGCTTTGCTCTTCTACAGTTGTTTGCTGTGGAGAGAGAGAAGCACTACCAACTAGGGAGGAGGAATGCAACTGAGCTGAAGCCCCCTGTTGTAGCAGAGAGGTTACAGGATTGCTCTACTCTAAAGGCAAAGATGCAAGGGCACCAGCAATGCAGAAGGGAACAAGAATATCAGGGTAGGTCTCATAAATGTCACAGTACTAATGCTGCCTAATAATTATAGTTTCATTTGCTTTTGCATACATTTGGAATTGCAGTAGTAGTCTGCAGTAGTGTGTGTACTTTTAATCAGTGACAACAGCCAGGCTATGAAGGTAAGAGAAGGCAGGAGCAAACATGTGGCAACTGGCTCAGTAGAGGATGCAATTTCATTCCTGGTAGCAGAGGTCTTGACTAACTCACGATTCCGCTGGACCTAACTGTAGGCATCCAAAGATTGACATCTGAACAATATGATTTCTGATTCCCAAAGGGCAAGCGATAGTTGCAGTGCACATGGGTTTTATTTTAGATTAAAAAAAAAAAAAGAATTAAAATATGAAGTCTCCATGGGAACACAGCAGAGGGTCCATATTGCTGTGGTCGCCTTCCTTCTTGACTATTCTGGCCAGCTCTCTAGCAAACAGGTGTCTTTGAAAGAGCCAGTGCACACAAAATATAGCAATACAGCTAAGAATGAAACAAATGCTAAGATTTTGAGTCAACTGCATGGAACCACATAAAAGCAGACTAATGTAAGAACTGATTTGACTTTATTTCAGTTATGTTATTGAAGCGCCTACAAAAACCCCAACTGTGGACTAGGACTCAGTTGCACTGGGTGTGTGGAAATGATTTCCTTTTGTCATTTGAGAAAGAGGTAACTGAATGTAGGTAGCAGTTTGTTAGGAATATTAGAAATTAGTTATTTTTATTTTTTTATTGGCTTATTTTTATAAGTGCACATACTTCTATGTTAGGATCCAGGTCTGGAACTCTGAGAGCTTCACAAACAGCATCAAATCTTATGAGCAGATTTTCATATGAAAAAGGATAGTGACAAGAACTTCATTTATTATTTGGTGAGTGGCAAGCATATAGTGGAAATTCAGATATATAAAACCTACTGTTTGAAGTGATCAAAATCAGGGTATTCCAAGCTCCCAGAAGGTTTTAATACATCCAGTTGTTTAAGAACATACAGCAAAGATCAGCAAAGAGAAGGATGGGATATTTAGAACTATAATATTATTTTCTCTTCCTAAAATGCTGTTTTCCTAGTGACAAGGGAAATTAAAAAGAACATTTCACCGATCAATTAAATATATGAATGTGTACAAATCCACAATTCAGCCCAGTTGTACTTTGACATTGCAGCCTCAGCGACAGAGTCTGACAGCACTAGCTTGCGTCACTTACCGCAGGCAAAATCTATTTCAATCAATATGAAATAAGTGCTGTATGTGTCTATTGCAATCACTGTTTGATGCTGCAGTTAATGCACTACAAATTGCAACATGTAATAGTCACACTAAGCTGCACGAACGTTATCAACAAATTTATCATTTATAATGCATTTTTCTTTTTTTGGAGGCACTATACTGACACTTGCACCAGCGTAATCCAAAACTGGAACTCTGAACTGCTCTTGCACTTCACTACTGACTTTGGGTAAAGTATCTCTCTAATTCTTCATCTGAACTAGTGTGTCTTTTCAGTGGCTCAAAACAACTTTTCAATCTGAAACCATCTCTTTGTAGATGTCTTCTGAAAAGACTGGAATTCCCAGTGACTTCCATGGGCTTTCCGCTGAACTCAAAATTTCTAATTATAATGGAGAAGAGTATTTCTAAAACACCTACGATACTTTTAGGTTCTAAAAAGGGTAATACGAAATAGTAGGCTGAGACGGTTGGCAATGTCTTGAAGGGCAAAATACATCTTACCTAGGAAATGACCTTGTTTATGAACTTCATACTCAGAAGTGAACACAGGTGGTTTGATGTGTCTGCGGTAGAGTCTACCGGCTGTAGCAGTTATACAGAAAGTGCAAAATTCTTGACATTCTTGACAGCAAGGAAATAAAATTTTTTCAAGCAAATTAGTGAAGCACACTTAAGCACAGCTAGGAAATCATGGATCTTTTTTAGTAATTGTGAAGAAGGTAAAAAATCTTTAGAGCTGTTGCAGATGTTAGAATTAAAAAGGAAAAAGGACAGGATGAGAGAGAAGCATGAAAGTTGAGAAAAGTATTCAAGTTGTAATGTTAGTTCTACATACAACAGTAGTTGTATTCAATTAAGTCTTTTGTCTGGATATTTTGTGGCAGAAATTGTAAATCCAAGTGCATATTACAGGCTCCTCAGTGTAAAGAAGTTCACTTTTTTAATGCTCTCGGGTAACATGGTTGGGTAGCTGTGAACATAGTATAAGTTTGCTGGATTATTTTTGAAAACACACACTTTAAAACTATAATTTGGTAGAGCTTTTATGTTTGGTAGAGAACAGATGGAACCAAAATGACTCCTCACTGGAGTCCCTGTGTTAGCGTTCTGGACTCCCTCCACGGTGCTTTCTGTGTAAATCTTGAAGCTGCTCCTGTGCTCTGTTTGCATGCATCTAATTCTTAGTTCAGGTTCTTGCGTGTAAATATTAGCTGGATATTCTGAAGTGAATGTAGCAAAGCAACCAACGTTTGCTTAACTTAGTAGTGCTACTAATTCCAGTGGTACTGCTGTGTTTTAAAGTTAAGCATGCATGTATATATTTATTACTGAACATGATTCAAAGCGCTTGTTTCCATTTTGAATGGCACGCTTCCCGCGAAAGGCAAACTGAAGGTATCTTACTGGGGAAATGAAGAGATCTTCCATTTATGTGATATTGTTGCATTTGCTGAAAACATTAATAAATAGCCTTCTAAAGAAGAAAAGCCAGTGCAACAGGTAATATTCTCTCCTGTTCCACTCATGGAACTCACAGAAGCCAGTAGGCTGAAAAAGAATATAATGCAGAGCTGAGCAGCAGACTAAGTTCAGTCATGGGGTAAGCCCACCAAATTCATGAGTTTTCAAGTCAGTGATGGATTTAGCCGTGGGATATTAAATGTATTTGCTACATAGCTATTTGTAAGAGTAACCAGGATTTGAAAAACTGCTTTGTTTTAGCTGAGGCATTATTTCTAGAGGTGTTCGGTATGTGATTAATATACGGTTTTATGTTGCTTGGCATTGTTGGTTTGATAAAGTAATCTAAGTCCTAGCAACTTTCATGCTAGGACTTGAAGTGGGAACATCTACCATGTACGTTGTTGTATCTACACTCAGTTACCCATTGTGTAAATCTCTAGCTGCATATTTCTAAATGACTTGGTTAGTCAGGAGCAGATTGAAATGCTCAGTCCCACTGTATATATTCACATACAGAAGTCTAAGCGTTTGTCATTTTAGCCAAACAGTGAAGAAATGACCCAGATAAGTAGGAAAGAAAAAGAGATACCAATTTTGCTGTTTTATTAACACTTACTAATGAAATTGCTAGGGAACCTGTTATACCAGTAATAAAGTTTATCCTTTCTTAGTTGTGCTAAACAGCTACTTACTAAGTTATCTTAGTACAATGAACTGCTAATAGGATATTCTGAAAACCTTTACTGAATCACAGTTTTGAGCCTGTGGAGCAGCAGTGTGGCATCTTCTATGGTACGGAAGCATACTCTGATCCACTGCATAACCTTCTAATTAAACTATAAAAGCACTTGTAACCACACAACACATCCGTACTTCAGCAGTATTCATATCAGCTTTGCCCTAGATTTGCTTCAAGGAAAGCTGACCATCATATAGTTCTCCATAGCGCGAATCTTCACTCAAGGCCAACACCAGAGGGAGAATGAGAGTTATCAGGACTATCTCCTTATCAACAATTGCTTTTATAGAGCTCAAAGCATTTTCTGTGAAATGTATGCATTAAGGTGGTAATCATTAGGCCAGAAATTTGCTTTGATTGCTGTTACAACGTCTGTGGAAGAACCGGAATGAGTAAAACGGAATGAAAGCTTCAATATTTGGAGCTTTCTTAATTCTCATGACAATCTCAACTGTATTCTCACTCTGGTCAATAACTTTAAAATCTTGTGGACTCCATGAGAAACAATTCTGAGGCATAAATCTTATTTTGGAGTTACTGTATATGGAAAAATAAATCCTGAAGCTTAAACTCAGGAAAATATTCATATGTGAACACGGCAAGGAAAAGCAGGCTCCAGAAATCCTCCGTGGAGGCGTTTCTCTGCCAAGCTCCTTCCTCCTGATGAATGAATAAATGCAGCTGCAGTACTAAACCCTAAACATTAGAATGTGTAAATACATCATAAATATCTGCACAGTTGGAAAGGTCTTTGCTGTGGCACTCATTGCTGTGATTCTGTAGATATCAAATATCCCTGCCTCTCAGAAATTCAGTAAGGGCATCATTAGTCTATATCCTTGGCTAACAGTTCTCACAACACTTACTGGGAGCCAGAGTTTCAGCTTAGTCCCTTGCAAAAGATCTCTTTAGTGAGAGGGATTCACAGCTATTCAGAAGTGATAGAAGATAAAACTTCATGTTCAAGCAGACCTTGAGGACCCATGAGAAATCCTATTTTCTCAACCCAGTCCTAGTAATACAGATGAGACCTAAGCACACTTCTGCAGTGTTCTGAAGGCAGTTGTACCAATTCGTTTCTTTAAGCACTCAAACAAATTCAGATACTAGGGTTTTTGTTGGTTCCTTGACTTCTTTTCTGAAGCAGAAAAAGCTCTGAGAAGACTGTCCGGTCTCCAAAATTTAGAGACCCCCAAGTAGCGGCAGAGAGGCCTTTGGAAGGAAAGGTGGGGATATGAGTATCTAGCACAGAGGGAAAGAAGTTATAAGACAACGCTGGGCAACAGTTATTGTTTATT